ATATCCCCATTCCAGGTCTCAGGATCCCACTTTCCCCCAATCAGTGCCCTCACTTTAACTGCAGACACTATTCTGGGTTGGAAATTTAATTGGCATTGTAATTCAGCCACCCCTACAATAAGACTCTGGGTTTGGTTTTCGGTAATATCAGCTCTGTTACTAGAAGAAATAAGGCTTTCTTTCAGAGCGCAACTAGAAACACTGAGGTCTTTTAGGTGGCAGTTAAGCTGTGACTCAGCAGCCCTGAACTCATCTCACTCTTTCACCACTTTGTCTAGTCTAAAGTGGGACCAATCAAGGAGCTTCCTTATACTCCTCATGCTGACAAAATTGCAGAAAAGTATCAAATATGCGATCACCCAGAGCCTCACTTCTCAAAAGTACTTGATCTATTGGTGGTGCTATTTTGCATATTAATGTTGCCACCTCACCCCACGGATTAGCAGGGCCCTCTTTACTAACTGGAGGCAGAGAAAGAAAAAGAAATTATCTTAGGAGAATGGCTCACACACTTATAGAAGCTGGCAAGTCCCAAGTTCTTGGATCAAACGTCAAGCTGGAGGCTTTTCCCAACTCTTGCAGCTTCAGGGACTGCAGAGCTCAAGTTTGGCAGGCAGTACACTGGCTGCTGACTCCAACGAATGATGAATCCAAGATCTCCAGGCCGAATGGTGGATTGTTGCTCACGGCACAATCAGAATGTGTAGGCAGCACAACAGAATCCCGATCCACAGAAGAGTGTCTCTTTTCCCAGGATGGCCATAAATATACGGGAAGCCGGTCACACCCCTAGGGAAACTCCCTTTCGATGGATTGGCTGCTCAAAACATATACATCTGACCTCATCATGGGAACAATCTACCTCACAGTTGCTTAAACCACACAGAATTGTGGTCCAGCCAAGTTGACACACAGCTCCAACTATCACAATCATCCAATAGAACATTCCACGATGATGGAAATGTTCTATGTGCTATCCAATATGGCGGCCACTAGCCACATGTGGCTACTGAGTTTGAAGTGTGGCTAGTGGAAGCAAGGAACTGAATTTGTCATTTTATTTCATTGTAACTGATTTAAATGGCTACTGTATTCCATAGTACAGCTTTAGGAAGTAAGGGCTTTTGAGGGCACAGGGAGGATGTTGAGAGAAGATGAGCACAATGTTGACTTCTGGCCACTGGGAAGCTATGTGCGTAATTATCACAGTTCCAGGCACACAGGAAGCACTCAGCAAATGCCTGCTGAATGGAGGACACTGGAATGGAGGGGACAAGGGAGAACAGCAGAGAGCAGGGACCTGGCAAATCAAGTCAGCTGGTGTAAACATTCTGGGAGTCCTTGGCAAGTCACCTCATATCAACTGCCAGTAATAATAACAACCACCTCCCTATGTAACTTACAAGTTAGTTACGAGGTTAGAAGCTATTAGGAGCGTGCTTCTAGAATCAGAAAGGCTGCTAGCTGGGTGACTTTAAACAAATTCTTTAATAATCTCACAAATACTATTTAGTAATGTCTCCCTTCTACCATGTTTGCAAGGACTATGCGGGACAATATGTGTAAGAAACTTAGCAAAATTGTATACATAATACTAAGTGCTCGAGAAGCTTAGTTACGATTATCAAACATCAGATGGCGAATGTGAAGGTACCTGTTAAAAGCTCTCCTACACCACAACAAAACTCCACTGAAACAAGGAGGCTGGCCCGGTCTCGTGCAACATCAGGTTAAGCATCACTGCGTCAGATGGAACTCACCTGAAAACCATACTCGCTGTTAAGGTTCAGAGAGCATGCCGGCGTCTCCACAGCTAAGGTCCACTTCCAGATGCAAATTTTCTGCAAGTGACAGCAGACAGAGGAAGATGAGATGCTCTCTGAAGGTTGCTGAGGTACCTCCCACCTCTTCTGGTGACACAGTAACTTTGGCTCATTTAGCAAAGTCCCATAAGCCTCCCCTAAGAATATTACAGGTGCCTTGCTGCCTGGGCAGAGCTGCCCATGGGGACATCTTGACAAGATGACCAGCCTGCTAGGTGGACCCCAAGGACCCGTTACCTGGACTTTACCATCTGAGATGGTTGCCAGATACTTGGCGTCGCGGGTGATGGCTATCACCTTGATGCCATTGCCTTCTGGGCAGCTGTCAAATATCGTGTGCACAGGGATTCTGCAAAACAGGACGAGGAGGGACAAGCGTCTGCTGATGTGGAACTGGCTTCCCAGAACGGCTCCATTCACAACAGCCACAAGGTGGGAATAACTCAAGTGTTCATCAACAGATGAATGGATGAGCAAAATGTGGTCTACGTATACAATGGACCATTATGCAGACATAAAAAGGAATAAAGTTCTGACACATATGATAACAGAGATGAACCTTGGAGACTAGACTTAGTGAAAGAAACCAGACATACATATAGGTATATGGGTAAGAACAGGTGCATACATATGTGAGAACAGATAGAAGTATCTATACATATGTGCAAATACAGATAAATATGGGCAGGCACATATATCCATTAAAGACACAACCAAAGATACTCCTCAGACATAACCAAACAACTTGCAAGATTGGTTTTCTATGTTTGGAAGCTCAGGACAGTAGTCTTCTGGGACAATTCAGTCAATTGGCGTAATGCGGTTCAGTGGTCAGGCTCGGCCTCCTAGTCTACCGGGCTAATAGCCTACATGAGCCATGACCTCAACTGCCCTGAGACAGAATTAGATGGTGCCTGGCTACTGCCACGGACCGTTCTGACCCAGGTCACAATAGATGATTCCAGATAGAATGGGAGAAATGTAGAACAAAACTCATTCTTACAAAAAGCAAGATAACTGGACCAGTTGAGACCAGAGGACTCCCAGAGACTATTGCCCTGACACACTCTTTAAACCTTGAACCAAAACCATGCCTTGAGATCTCCTTTCAGCAGAAAAGCAGAGTGACACACAAAAGAAAGGATATTATCCATGAGATCACTGCTCTACTAAAAATCCACCTGTATGAATGCAAGTAAGTGGAGATAAATGCAAATCCGTGTTCATCGCGACACAGCATCAATACCAAAAAATATGCACAAGTGTCCGTCCACAGGAGAATACCGTGGCGCAGCCATGGAATGAGAAGCTAAGCTGCCTTCAGAAAGATTGACGGGCATCTGGGCAAGTCACCCAATTTTTGTGCAAAAAGTAAAACACAGAAGCGTACACATAGCATATGGAGCCCTGGTGGCACAAGGGTTAAGCGCTCAGTTGTTGAGAGATCGGTGACTCGAACCCTGCAGGACAGAAGACCTGGCGACCTGCTCCCCTAAAGATGACAGCCTTAGGAACCCCGTGGGCCAGTTCTGCTCTCTCCTCCAGGGTCACTGTGAGGACTCGATGGCACACAACAGCACCCAACACACACAGCATCGTCCTGTGTGTGTTTATAGAAAAAAGTCTCCACACTGTAAACCCTGGTTACTTTCCAGGCAGGGTCTGGGTGAGGAGGGGCTTTCATTTTGGGCTTAAACACACTGCTCTGGGGCCCTGACATTAGAAATGGAAGACAAAATTTTAACAGAGGGAGAATTTTAATTAGACGGTTTTGACATATCTAAGAAAAGCAATGGTGGAAGTCATTGTCTCCGTGGTGGGTTGGAGACTTCCCATGGGAAGAGAGGAGTGGGTGGTAAAGAGACTTCAACCAGGAACGTGGGCTATGTGGCTGTCCACTTTCTTCATCAAGGAGTCCTCGCTGCAGTGAATGCAAACAGACCTCAGTATGTCACATCAGTGCTCCAACAGCTGGAACCGAGTCTGTGCCCCAGATGATGGCCTCTCTGTATCTCTATCACTTAAGAAACTTCATCCAACTGAGAAACAGCCCCACAATTCACTTGGGAAGGCAACCCCTAAACTGCAGAGAACGACATAATGGTAGCCTGAGTGAGAAAATGTCTCCGATCCCTGGGGCATTTAGGATTAAATACAGAAAAGATGAAGTCAGTCAGACATGTGCTATTAATGTATTTTCGATTCGGAATTTGTTCATTTTTTAGGAATGTGTTATGTTTAAGAGGATCGGATGTACTAGAGGTCTGTAACAGATCAGATCTGTGATTCTAACTTAAAATATGCAGCTGATTTAGACTTGTGATTTTAAATTGAAATTGTATTGGGTTTATAAATAACACCAGAACACTGACAGGAACCTAAGATTCGCCCTATTTATTTCTAATCTATTAAATTTACAAGCACTACTGAAGGACTGGGAAAGGACTTGTTAATCAGACAACTAATGAACCCAAAATGAAGCTGAATATACGCAGTTCCTAAATGCAGTTCAGGATGTTCAAAAGGAGTCAATACTTTAATACACCACTTTCTTTGAAAGATAGAACAACTGGAAAGAAACTCAACAAAGATGCAGAAGAGCTAAACAATACAATCCATCAACTTGGCCTTATAGACATCTATAGAGCACTTCACCCAACAGCAGCACAATATACATTCTTCTCCAGTGCACATGGAACTTTTTCCATGATAGACCATAAGTTAGGCCATAAAGCAAGGCTTAATAAATTCAAAAGGAGTCAATAACCAAATTTGCAGATGGAGCCAGGCGTTAATCAAAGCCCCTTTAAAAGTGACTGCAGAAATCTGCTAGATTTATAAATAGAATACGATTTGGAAGTTGAGTGAAAAGCTTAAGGGAGAACTATGGTTTTTAATTTGTCACTTTAGGAAAGTGATTCTTCATTCTAAAACAAGAATGGCCTCTGAAGAACCTTTGCTGGGTTCCTCGGGGACATCGTAAAGCTCAGGTCGACAGGGAGTCTGAGCAATGTGCCACAGAGATGCCTCCCTGGAAGTCTGTGGGTGGCGTGAACAGTTAACACCTCGGCTGCTTCCGGAAGAATCAGAGGTTCGTGTCCACCGTGAGGCCCCTCAGAAGAAAGGCCTGGAGCTCTGCTTCAGGAAAATCAGCCCGGAAATCCCCGCAGAGCACAGCTCTGCTCTGACAAGTGTGTTCACCACGCGTCGAAGGCGACAGCAGCTGGTGCTGGTAAACGTGACCTTATCAAACAAAAAGCCACCCTCACTGCAGGAGCGCTGGTGGCATAGTGCCCAAGGCTTTAGACTGCTAACCAGAAGGCTGGCAGTTCAAACCCACCAGCCACTCCTCGGAAGGAAGCTGGGCAATCTACTTCCATAGTGATACAACAACGCAACGCACTACTACTTCCGTAGTGATACAACAACGCAGCACACTGCTGTCGAGTCGGATTCGACTCATAGCGACCCCTCCTTGGGTTTCCGAGGCAGTATCACTATGGAAGTGGATTGCCCAACCTTCCTTCTGAGGAGTGGCTAGTGGGTTTGAACCACCAGCCTTCTGGTTAGCAGAAAAATGCCTTAGGTACTATGCCACCATAGCTCCCCCTGTAGTGATACCACCTTGGAAACCCAAGGAGGGGTTGCTATGAGTCAGATCCGACTCCATGGCAGTGAGTTTGGTTTTTGTTTTCATGTGCTCCCAGTCTAGTGTGGAGACAGCTTTATAAATCAGAAGATGGCATGTGATAAGCGTCATCTGTAATGGGCCCAACTCTGACCGGGGATGGGAGAAACGTCAGCCAAGGTGACAAGCAGAGGCACACCCTGCGCTGCCCTTCGCTGCAGACCTGCTATGGCTGCTGACCTGGGTGTTCAGGCTTTTGCAGCTGAAAGCACGGATGACCACAGAACAGGACGAGGCATGAAGATGGGAATTTCTCTCCCTGGGGAGGCATACGGATGTGGGACAGGGTGCATATTCTCTGTGGTGCCTGCCGACTGAGCAATGGGGGAGGGAGGCACTGAGGCTTTCAAGCAGGGGAGCCACATGAGCAGGTGTGCTTTTGGGAAAAGAAAAAAAGCAAAAATCTAGTGCTGTCGAGTCACTTCTGACTCACACCAACACTGCAGGACAGGGCAGAACTGCCCCAGAGGGGTTCCAAGGCTATAAACCTTTATGGAAGCAGACTGCCTCATTCTCCCACAGAGCAGCTGGTGGGTTCAAACCACTGACCTTTCAGTTAACAGCCGAGCACTCATCCACTACACCAAGATCACACGAAAAATGTCATGGAGAAAAAATGTAGAATGATGACGTACATCTCTACATGTCTACGTATCTTCTAGGAGCTATGGTAGCATATTGCCTAAGGCACTTGACTGCTAACCAGAAGGGTGGCGGTTCAAACACACCAGCCACTCCTTGGAAGGAAGGTTGGGCAATCCACTTCCATAGTGATACCGCCTCAGAAACCCAAGGAGGGGTCACTATGAGTTAGGTCTGACTCGACGGCACATAACAACAATAACAACATGTACCTTCTGGAAAGAAACATACCAACCCACGATCACCTCTGGGAGAAGACCACGATGCAGCCAAAGAAGACTTGAGTTTCTCAAAATACATGTGCCACGTGTTGTTGTTGTTGTCGTCGGGTGGGTTGTGAATCACAAATTATATGTCAATTAACATTTATTTAAATGATTTTTGAAAGATCAAAGCCATATATTCTGGAAAAAACAAACCACAGAGACAATGAAAATATGAGCAATTGCCATGGGGGGGGAATGAACAAGTGGGGCACAAGCGTTGGAGGAAAGTGAAATTATTCTGTGTGACATGGTCATGGTGGAGACATGATGTTAAGATGTGCCCAAACCCACAGGACTGCACAACAGTGAACTCTTTAATTAAACTGTACACCTCAGTTACCAATAACGTATCAGTATTGGTTTATCATCTGTAACAAATGCACCACTAAATGAAAAATGTTAGCAACAGGAGAATTTGGGGAGGCAGGGGGGAAACGGAGACTCTACTTCATTACAATACTTCTATAAAATTCAAACTGCTCTGAAAAAGAAAGTCTATTAAAAATACTACTAAAAATACGCAGGGGACATCAAGCTCAAATGGCATAACATACTACACAAGATATTGATCCACCTCCTACTTTGGCAAGTAGTGACTGGGATCTGAAAAGCCTGTAAGCTGCCACCTAGATGCAATGATGGGCCTCTCCTCATCTAGAGCAAAGAAGAATGAAGAAAACCAAACATTCATGGAAACTATTAGTCTTAGCGACTGGTACACCATCTAATCTGCAGCCTGTATGACTATGAGACCAGAAGAACTAGATGGTGCCTGGCTACCACTGTCAACCACTTGGAAGGGGATCTATGTAGGAGATCCTGGATAGAGAGGGAGAACAATGTGGAACAAAACTCAAAATCATTTGGAGAAAAAAAAAGCAGGGGGACCAGGTTTGCTGGTCTGATAGAGCCTGGTGGAACCACTGAGACTATGGCCCCTAGCTGCCCTTCAGGTCTGGAATTGAACCCACACCTGTGGCTTCCAACCAAACAAAAGACAGGCATATGAGCTGAACATTTACCTGAGGTAGATACACTCCTTGGAGAGAACAATCATGGAATAAAGAAGGGCTGCTTATGCACAGGGAGAGAGCCCAGTGGGCAGGAGTGCATGGAGGGATGGACACTGGGAAGAGGTGACTATTAGGTGGAAGTGAGAGGGCAGCTGTTGCATTGTGGTGAACTGTGGTCAATGTCACGAGACAAAGTATATGTGAACTGCTGTATGGAAAATGAATTTGCTCTGTAAATTTTCACCCAAATCACAATTGAAAAAAAAAAAAAAAAAACTACTACTAAAAATAAAAATCCAAAAAGAAATTTTTCAAAAACCAATGTCACAGAGACTGGACTGAGGGTCCACTGGGGGAGGGAGACCAGAGAGGAGGGGGCTGTACTGACCTAGGCAGGGGTGGGGGCGGGGGACGGTGCAGAGGGAACAGAACTTTTGGCTGTTTCAGCAGCAGGTGCCGGGGAGGCCTGTGGGGAGGATGACCCCCAGCAACTTCCTCAACCGGGGAGAGGGACCCGCCCACCTAGCCTGCAGACGCTAAGGGAACCCGCACACAGCATGGCTTCAGATCCGGGGCCGCCACTGGTACCTGTACAGCAAGGTGAACGTCTCCTCCTCGTTTTGAGCCACGTTTCCGGGTGACCACAGGCACGTGAGCCCAAGAGGTGACTGAGAAGGGACCGTGAGCAAGCGGGAGTGGGATCAGAGATGCCGAGGGAGATGAAGGCCTCACAGGCCACCGGAAGGTCAGGTGGTGTGAGGACCAGGACTGGGTGACAGGGATGGGGGAGACTGGTGCCTGTGTCCCCCTCCCAGACACTCTTGGCCAGAATTCTCCCTTATCTCCAACATCTGTACTCTCTTGCCCTCCGGGTCCAGCACACACATCCCTCCAACCAGGGCCTCACCCTCCCGTGTCAATGAATCTCCCCGAATCTCCCCAGATCTCGGCCTCCAGGCCCAGGAAGTGGGAGAGAAGTCCCACCAGTAACAGTGACCAGGCCCAGGTACCCGGCTCCACTGGCAGCAGCCCAATGGGGTACTCTGGCCCTCCTCGATCTGTGGAAGATGTTAACATCTGTTAACGATCTGTGCTATGGGGAAAGTCACTCAACTTCCACAGGCCTCCAAGCCACAGGGTGAACAAGGGCCGAGCTGGACGACCGGGAGCCGAGAGCAGTCCCTCTGCCATGCTGCTCCTCAGCGTCACTTGCCTGTGCCCTCTCAGCTCCCATGTCACAGTCTACACTCTCTAATCTGCTGGGCAAGACATCCCCATGGCACCCACTGATGGGGCCACACCACCATTCTTCCATTTCACGCTGGGTGACTCTGCTGTGTTTCCATTGGTTATACCAAGCCACGCCCCCACATCTCAAATCCCCAAACACCCTCAACAAGGAAGCCAGCCTCCTGCTTGACAGCCGTCCCCCAAGCTGACAGCTCAACCTCACACTCTCCCTCCTGCCTAAGTAGCCTCCTGCCCAGCCTTCCCAAACCATCTGCAGCAAAGGACTTTTTTGTTTTTTTCACTTTTCAACCCATAGCCTACCAATACTTTCATAAAGTCAAAATGTGGCTGCAACATCAAGTTGCTACAAAAGTTCCTAAGTGCTCTTTCTCATGCTCTGGACTGCCTCACCGGGTCTCCAAGGCTGTCTGTCAGTCTTCACAGAAGCAGACTGCCTCATCTTTCTCCAGTGAGGCAGCTGGTGGCTTCGAACCACTGACCTTCCAGTGAGCAGCCGAATGCCTTGGCCACTGTGCCACCAGAGCTCCCTAAAATGCCTGACTAGATCTCCTCAAAACGATCACCAGAAACAAGGGGAGTCTGAGAAAGTGTCACAGAAAGAGGAAGAAATGACAAGGACACATGGTGTGAGAACCAGGATGGGACCTGGGACAGAAAAGAGCAGTAGGGAGAAGTTAAGGAAATCTGACAAAACTCTGAGCTTGAGTTGGTAACAAAGCAATGATATCGGCTCAGTAACTGCAACAAGTGCAAGGTACGAACAGATGAAAGCGGGTGTGGGGCACGTGGGAACCCTGGTACTATCACCTCAAATCTCTCTAAGTCTGGAACTGTTCTGAAGAATCGAATCTGTTTTATTCAGCTGTGAGGGAAAGAGGCTGCTGGAAGTGGGGACCGGCCGCAGCAAAGCAGCAGCTTTGGGGAGGCTCCTCTTGCCCATGGCAGATTAACAGGCTGATGGTACCCAAGAAGAAACACATCGCCAGCGGCGGTCGGGCAGCGTGCCACACGAATGCAGAGCTGCGGGGAGGTACTTGCTGGTGCCCACTGAGAACAGCCCAGGCTGGCCAGTGATAGAAAGCCTGGTCCTGAGCAAAGTCGCATCTCTCCTGGTAAATGAAAGAGCTGGCATCTGGTTTGTGCTTTGAGCTTTTGTGAGCGGGGTTAGTGTGAGTCAGCCTTCCGGGCCCTGTCTACTCTGGGACACTGTCAAACCGAGTTTCTGAGCTTAACGAGCCAAGAACCGCGAGTGAGAAATTCACCAAAGTAATGGCACTCCATCAGTCACCAAGGCAACAGGACAACGAGCCTTCCCCGGCAAGCCAGCCCCACTGAGCACCCATCACTGGGTGCCGCATCTCCGGACCAGCATTACTCGTTCTCTGTTTTGACACTGTGGCAGACACTCTACCGAAACCAGAAAATAACAAAGTGACCACGGTGAGCCTACCCTGTGAAGGAGTCCCATATAATTATCAGGCAGTCGGGCCCTTTGTCGGCTGTGGCAATCCACCGCCTGTCTTCACTGACGCAGAGGCAGGAGATGACATTGGCGTGGCCCTGCAGAAAGGGAGAGAAGACGTGGGCGGACAGGATGCGGCCCAGCCCCGGGCGCAGGAGAGGCCAGGCCTCACTGAGGATCTGAGCTCCCTTTCAAGGCTCAGCTGGCCCGGAAGGCCTCTCCTACCAGCCTCCCCTACAGTCTCCCCATCTCTCTTGGCCTATGGTTTTCAAACTTTTTCTTCCTCAAAACACCTGGAAGATAAGCTTCACTCCCAGAAACAGTGGGTCCCACAGCACTTTGACCTGCCCTTCCCAGTGCTTATGACAATCCATAATTGTGCATTTACGCATTCCCTTGCTTAAGGTCTGTCTCCCCTAGGAGACTGTAAGTGCTGCGTGGCAGGGACTGGATCCGTTTTAAGTCTAAACAAATACCCATCAGTCAAGACACAGTGGCGATGATTAAGGATTTGTGGAATGAATGAAAGAAGGAAGGAAGGAAGGAAGGACTGACTGAGTGGCCAAAGCCATCCCCCGCCATCTGCCACTTCAGAGGCTGGACTCCCAGCTGCGTGCAGGCACTGCACTTCCCGCCTGCCCCCAGCCCAGGCTGGCTGCCAGCCCTACTCTTCCACACCTGTCTCAGCCTCCCGCTCCTGTCGCTTCTGTCGCCTGTGTGGAAGGCGAGGTGGGGAGTGGTGGTGAAGGGCAACAGTAAGCAAAGGTGCTAAAGAGAGGGAGGGACAGGAGGACAGCTCAGCCTACCTGATAGTTCAAGTCAGGAGACCAAGACCCGGCTTCAGTAATGTGATCCCTGAGCTTGTTACTTTTCTGGAGAACGGGGATGCCTGCCTACTTCTCAGCGTGCTGATGAGAATCAGCCTTTTGAAAACTTGCAAGGAGTCTAAGCATCCGTTAGCTCTGAGTCTCTGCTGAGTAAACCCATCGCGGTCGAGTTGATTAGGATTCACAGTGACCTGCTGAAAGGCTAGTGGTCCTTATGCTCACCATAAGGAGCCCTCGTGGCACAGTGGTTAAAGCACTTGGCTGTTAACCAAAAGGTTGGCAGTTCAAACCCACCAGGGGCTTCGTAGAAAAAAGATATGGCAACCTGCTTCCAGAAAGATTTACAGCCTTGGAAACTTCAGGGTATGGACTAGCATCTGACCTTCTCTACGAACCTCATGAAGTGGAGAGAAAGTCACCAGCAGTAGCTCAAGGCTGAGTCCTATGAGGCCGAGGTCAGCCATGTCGCCACCCTCCGACCCTTTAACCCATTCTGAGACCAGCCAGCTTCCCACGGCACTCTCTGCTTCACTGCTGAATTCAATAATCTGTTGCAATGGCCGAAAGCACCTCATATTTGCTTAGTTCCACCCAGTCATCTGGTGGACATCACAAAGACCAACGCAGGAAGAGCCATGTGAAGTCGCTCACTGCACTCAGGGTGCCCGTGAGTTGGGATCCAATCGACAGCAACGGTGTCAGTTATGTTCACTATAGCTCACCATGGCGACAATGGGACGGAATACAGGAAAATCCCGTCATGCATTTACAGACATTTTAAAAACACAGGTGTTTTAACTTTTTGTAACTATAAAAGGAAGTGAGTATGTGAGTCGATTCTGATGAGATGAGAGATGCTGGAAAACAGTATCTGTTTCTAAATATGGGATTTGCTGTGGTTCGAGAGAGAGATAAAAAACGTATGACAGAACAGAAGGCAGTCAGCCCTCGAGACGCAAAGCGCAACGCTGCATGCAAGATAAAGACTCCTGCGGTCTCCTCAGTAAGACGGCCCTGCGTACCTGAAGGTGGTGCTGACTGTTCTTGAAAACGTCATAGATGACGGCGGTGTGCGCACACACATAGAGAAGAACTCTCTGGTTTTCATCTCGAATACTGAAGACAGGAAGGGAACTGTTCCATCCAAATGTCCAAGTCATGGTCTGGAAGACAAAGTTGAATCAGCAAGACTCGGGTGTGCTGAGCCCAGTGTGTGGCATCAGTCTCTCCTGGTCCGAGTCCCCAGGAAAGGCAATTCCCATCAAAAGACTCCCCACTGTCCCATGAAGAGAAACCACTGTAAGGAAAGTCTTGCACAGCGCACTGTAACGTGGGTGAACCCTGAAAACATCACCCAGGGTAGAAGCAAGCATGAAAGTCCAGAGAAGCAGATCTCATTGGCAGGAAACCCCCAGAAGAGACCTGTCACAAACAGAAAACAGACACAGCTGCTGGCCAGAAGCTGGACGGAGGAGGGCATGGGGAGTGATGGTTACTGGGTACGGGGTTTCTTTCTGAGGTGACGGAATATTCTGGAATTTGTGGTAATAGCAGCACAACCTCATAAATATACTAAAAAGCATTGAATCGTCCACTTGAAAAGGGTACATTTTATGGGACGTGTATTTTATCTCAATTTCAAAGGAAAAGGGAAGGTGAGTGAGGCCAGAGGGAAGTGAGGTTCCCTCTGGGGAGATGGCCTGGGGGACAAGGAGGGAAGGAAAAGAGGGAGGGAGATGGGAAAAGGGAAAGGAAAGGAGAGAAAGAGAGAGAAAAAAAGTTTTAACAGTAAACACACAACATCCCATCCTTCCACTCTCCAGGGTGCGGACCAGACGCTTTGTAAGCGATTACCATGAGAATCAACTTCCTTTAGGAAAGTATGTGTGACAGGCAAGTTACAATCTAGCCACTAAAGCAACTCTGTAGGAAAGGCCAACGTTCCATCTGCACATTTGGTTCTCATTCCCTGCTTTTCCAGGCAGGATAAAGAGATCAAATTCCCTCCGAATTAAAAAGTCCATATTACCTGGAATAAGGCCAAAACAGTAATTTCATGAAACAAAAAACAACAGGTAATGTAAATAAATCTGACTACTGCTTGTAATTCAGTGTGCTTTATTCAGGTAGCATTCTGTGATCAAAGTCTTTACAAAAAGTGGTGGCGGTGCTGGTGTTGCCAGATGCTGTCGATTCTGACTCACACGACCCCACGCGACTGAGCAGAACAGCGCCACCGGGTTTCCTAGGCTGTAATCTTTACGGAGATAGATTGCTAGGTCTTTCCTCTCACGGAGCCACTAGTGGGTTTGAGCAGCCAACCTTAATCATTGCATCACCAGGACTCCTTTGATCAAAATTAACTCTTCTGTCTTAGTCATCCAGTGCTATTGTAACAGAAATACCACACGTGGATGGCTTTAACAAACACAATCTCTTTTCCCACAGTTGAGGAGGCTGGGAGTCTGAATTCAGGGCGCGGGCTCTCAGGGAAGGCCTTCTCTCTCCGCCAGCTCTGGGGAAGGTCCTTGTCTCTTCAGCTTGGGTCCTGGTTCCTTGGCAATCTCCATCTCTGCTTCCCCTGCTCCTTTTATATCTCGTAAGAGATTGACACCCTACACTAAGTCTGCCTCATTAAGGTAACAAAGACAGCCCACTCCCGAATGAGCTTATAACCACAGCCATAGAGGTGAGAGCATTTACAACACTTCTTTTGGAGGGACATAATCCAATGGCCAACTAATCACCTAAATGTGGCAGAGTGTTTCAAGTGACAGTTAAAAGATAACTTGATAAAAATCAGTGAATTTTTTTTTTTGTTATATTGCCATAATTTTTTAAGAATTATATTGGGGTATAAAGAGGTCTGGTAGTGTGGTGGTTAAGGCATTTGCCTGCTAACCAAAAGGCCAGTGGTTCAAACCTACCAGCCACTCCGTGGAAGAAAGATGAGGCAGTAAGCTTCTGTAAAGATTTACAGCCTTGGAAACCCAATGAGAGTCGCTATGAGTGGGAACTGACTCGCTAACATTGAGGTTTTTATTTTTTAATTGGGGTACAGAAACAAAATCTGGTGAGTTTCCTTTCTTATCTTGGGATAAGATATACAATGTAAAATTGATATATCATATATCTTTCCCCAAAGGATTTAACAGGCAATGTGGGCGAGTTCCCACTCCTCCACTCGGTAGCCCATCCTCTCCTGTTTCCATCTGCTCATTCCCTGTCGTTTCTACTTCTATTTCCATCTCTCAGTGTGTGGGTGTGAGTGGTAGAATCATGGCATCAGAACCGTCTCAAGCTGCAACTTCTAGGAACAGAATTATTTGATATTTGGCTGGTTCTTAAAAGCCAATTTCTTCTCATGAGACTGGTCTTTTGGGAAACTTGCTAAGTCTAAAAGGCACTGTCTTCTTGCTGGAAACGTATTTTGCCATTTAACGATTAAGTCGTGGAAAGGAAACAGTGCTAACCAGACTCCTGTCGTTAGTGAAAACAGACTTGGCCGAGTGCAGTCGCCGGGCACAGGGCAACAGCCACAACAGCTGGGTTCACATCGTATCCCTCGCCCCACCTGGCACCATTTTTAACAATCATGTTACAGAGTTGGGGCCCCCAAAAGATACGCCGAAGTCCTAACCCTGGGAGCTGTGAACGTGACCTGGTTTGGAAACAGAGTCTTTGAAGGTGATATCAGTTAACAGGAGGTCACGCTGAAGTATGGCCAGTCCTCATCCCTCATGAGTGCTGTCCTTGTGAAAGAGGAGAAGAGAGGCCAAGAAGGAAGACAGCCGCCCAAAGATGGAGGCAGAAACTGACGGTACATCACACAGCCAGCCAGGAGCCCCAGGGCCTCCGGAAGCCGGGAGACACAAGGAAGGGCCCTCCCCCAGAGCCTCCGAAGGGAACACAGCCTGCCGCACGCTGAATGTGGGCTCTAGACTCCAGAGCTGTGAGACAATACACTCCTCGTTTTAGGCCACCCACCTTGTGCTACTTCATTACAGCAGTCCCAGGAAACGAAGAAAAAAAACAGTTGCCCGAGTAGACTCTCATTCAGGTGGCCCCGTATGCGTAAATGGTTAACATGCTCAGCTGCCACACAAACGGCTGGAGGTCAAGCCCAGAGTCATCTCAGGAGGAAGTCCTGGTGATCTGCACTCCCAAATCAATCACCGAAAACAAAGAGAGGTCCCTGGTGGCACAGCTGGTAACCAAAGGCTGGCGGTTTGAATCCCCCCAGTGGCCCTGTGGAACAGGCCTGGTGATCCGCTTCCATAAAGATTGCAGCCCAGAAAATCCTATAGAGCAGCTCTACCCGTAACACACAAAAAACCGAAAAGCAGAAGGGAGTTCCGGCAAGATGGCAGACTAGGCAGAAG